AAAAAAAAAACCTACCCGCTTGGGACCTAACCGTCTAGAAGTTACAGCTGAGACAGTGTCCGCTTGGAATATTTCTAACCCATGAAGACAGTGGGGTATGAGAACAGTCTTTTTAACTAGACAGTAAAAAAACCGTTCTCATACCCCACTGTCTTCATGGGTTAGAAATATTCCAAGCAGACACTGTCTCAGCTGTAACTTCTAGACGGTTAGGTCCCAAGCGGGTAGGTTTTTTTTTTATTTTCCGTTCGGGCGGCGTAGCCGCCCGAACCCAAGCATTACTGTCTATACACCCCACTGTCCACATGGGTTAGGATTTATTTGTTTTATAGCACACATTTTAAATTTGGTGCCTGTTGGACCGACAAGTAACGAGACGCATGCGCATGAAGTCAGAGAGCATGAAGAAAGCATACTGGTAGCACTACACATAGTCGGTATGACAGATTTCCTAACCTGCAGAGTCGTCAACTTTAACGCTAAATATCTCGGTTCGCGAGGCAGAGCGACACTTTTTTCTGCCAGATTCTTTCGTTTTGTGCAAAAACGCGTCGAATAAGCCTAATTTCATCGAAATCGGAGGTGAGGGAGGTATTCTGAATAATTACCGAAAGTTCCTTTAAACAAATAGAATAAATAGTTAATACAAATAATAATAAAGAAATGTATTTGTTTGTTATTTTTTACGTCTGCAACCGACACGTGACTGTGACGTCGCTTACGCATGCGCATGAACATTCCCATGCGAGAATAATTCCCACACTGTGTCGGCTGCTTTCACAGCCGTATCTGTGACAGTTAGCCGTTAGGTGCCCGTGCCGACCGTGCCCCGTAAAGGGCTCTAAGTCTTTACGAATTTTCGTGCATTTTTTGCGAGAGGTAAAGTTCACATGTTTTATATATTTTATGTACAATGTTTTTGTTGGAATACTAGTAAGGTTTTCTGCAGTTTTCCTTACTCTCGCAACGAATGTTGGTATTCACGTAATAAATCAGCTGCAGACGTAAAAAATAACAAACAAATACATTTCTTTATTATTATTTGTATTAACTATTTATTCTATTTGTTTAAAGGAACTTTCTTCTCTTTGTAACTCCCTTCATATTTCCTTCCTTGCTAGGGGCCTAACGATACTTCAGATTTTATCCAGATACCAAGAAGACTAGAACTAAGGAGGATCAACTCGTGTGGTGGGGG